CGATGCCCGGCGGTGCCAAGCGGTGCCCGGCCATGCCCCGCCACACCAGCAACGCCTGGCAATGCCCAGCGACAGCCAGGGGTGCCTGGTGATGCTCAGAAACGCCTGGCGACACTGGCGATGCCCAGTAATACCTGGCGATGCCAGTGATGCCCAGCAATGCCCAGCAGTGCCTAGAGATGCCCAGCAATGCCCAGCGATGCCTGAAGATGCACAGCGGTACCTGGCAATGCCCAGTGTTGCCCACCGATGCCCCGAGATGCTCAGCAATGACCAGCAATGTCCAGCAAAGCCCAGTAACACCCAACAATGCCCAGCAAAGCCTGGCAATGCCCAGCAATGCCCTGTAATACCTGACAATGCCCAGCAATGCCCAGCGATGCCTGAAGATGCACAGCGGTACCTGGCAATGCCCAGTGTTGCCCACCGATGCCCCGAGATGCTCAGCAATGACCAGCAATGTCCAGCAAAGCCCAGTAACACCCAACAATGCCCAGCAAAGCCTGGCAATGCCCAGCAATGCCCTGTAATACCTGACATCAGTAATGCCCTGTAATACCCAGCAATGCCCAGCAATGCCCAGCAATGCCCAGCAATGCCCAGCAACGCCCAACAATGCCTAGAGATGTACAGCGCTATCTGGCAATGCCCAGTGATGCCCAGTAAAGCCTGGCAATGCCCAGTGATGCCCAGTAATGCCCAGCAATGCCCAGAATCGCCTCGTGATGCCCAGCAATGCCCAGCGGTATCGGGCAATGCCCAGCAATGCCCAGAAACACCCCATGGCACCCAGCAATGCCCAGCGGTGTCGGGCAATGCCCAGCAATGCCCAGTGAGGCCTGGCAGCTCTGGGTGCAGATGCGGCGGCCAGTGAGGCCTGGCAGCTCTGGGTGCAGATGAGGCGGCAGTGCCGCAGCAGGCAGTGCCCAGCCACCACCGGGCCAGGGGGCCACGGGTGAGGGGGGCGGCTGGCCGGGAGGAATCGGGGCGCCGGCGGTGCCTTCGGGC